CCCCAAAACCCCAAAACCCCAAAACCCCTTGAATATAGATAAAACTATTCTTGAATATTTAGGAATTAGAAAAATGAAATTGAGAAATATTAAATTAGATGAAAATAATAATCGGACCGCAAGAATGCGGGAAAACTACAGTCGCATTTCACTACTTTTACAATGAGATCTCTAAATTAATGCCATTAGATTCTATAGCAGACTAGCAAATTTAAGAATCAGAAAATGGTGGTTCTTAATTCTAAGCTTGCTTTATTACTTCAAAAAAGAGGATGGTTGAAACTCCTTTCATTTTTGGAACTTATAGTGAAGTATCAATTGAAAGTCTAAAATAAATAAAATTAAAATACATAGAAGATTATGAAGGACTTGTTAAATATTTAGCTGATTTCCATTTGATTCAGAAGCAGAATAAGCCATGCCTTCTTTGTATTGACAACCTAGATCACTATATAGAAAATAAAAGTTTTAATAATCTAACTAGAATGATGAGACTTAATTTTGTAATGACTTTGATAAAAGATTGCTAAGATTTGCTTGATCCTTGTGCAGTATTTAAAATTAATAATACAATTGTAACATATCGATGTAGTTCAACAGACGAAAGTGATTTCTTAAGAATATATAATGAAATGAATAAGTTTAGCTAGCAAATATTTTATGTAAGCAAAAAAGACTCAGCTTAATCTATCACTTGGAAATTGCTTCATAATTGCTCAGACCTTAAGCATAGTATTCTAAATCAAGATGGGTAAATGAGAGAAGAGTAATTTTGGAATCATTTGAGGTTTATTGAGATGTTCAAGGTCGATGAAAACCCCTACTTTTTCGAAGAGGAATTCAACTTCAAAGTGGGTATAAAGAGAGATTATTAGAATATGATTAAAAGTGAGGGTAATGCGAATAATTAATCTACAGCTGCATCAGTAATAAAAGTTGAAGATGAATAGATAAAACAAACTGAAGATAAATAAAAATTCAACCTAGGAAGACCTCAGAGTTACAAATTTTAAAGAGTAATCGTAATGAATGAGCAGGTAGTAGAAAATTCGATTAGTTATGTATTTGACCCTATCCTTAGAGAAATTATCAAGCATTTTGAAGATATGTCTAGGGCTGAGGCAATTGATGATGAATGAAATTATAAATTCAATAGTATATACTTTTAATCTTAATTTCTTAACCATTTCTCAAATGATGTTAAAAGCAGGGGTTTTGGGGTTTTGGGGTTTTGGGG